TAACCCAACCGTTTGGATCAACGATGCATGGACCGCAAATGAACTACTCGACAAAAGAGCTGGCATATACTGCTCGCGACCGCGCATGCTTGTCTTTGCCGAACTCGGATCTGGCCAAAACAACCTCGTGAACCTGATCACTACTACACAAGAGCAGCGTGAGCGTTTCCGGATGCTACGCAAGGTGACACATCAGGGCGTTGGCATCCAGCAGGTGAAGAAGTACCGCGACTTCCAAAATGACGAGAGCAAAGTCGTCGCCCTCGATCTCCTGAGCACCCCCGAAAACTACGTCGCGCACTTTGAACGCTACGCGACCAGTGTGGTCTCTATCATCGGCTTTGGCAGACGCGTTGCGAGCCACGAAGATCCAATCATCACCGAGGTCATCGCGTTGATGCATCGAGCAGCTGATCTGAACGTACCGGGCAAGACATTCCCTATGCTAATGGAGACCTTTCCGATTCTTGCTCGCGCACCTACGGAATTTGCCCCATGGAAGCACGGCATGGGATCGAAGAAGAAGTCATCCCGCGGCCATGACTTCTTTTATTCGCTCGCCAGAGAAGCCAACGAGAAGCCAGGACACGAAGACTGCTATTCAAAGATGTTGTTTCGCGAGCAGGAGAAATACGGTCTGAATCACAAGGAGATTTCGGCATTAACTGGTAACCTGTTCGGCGCGGGGTCCGACACATCAAGTAGTACGCTCATCACCGCTGTTCTCGCCATGCGAGCGTTCCCAGAAACTATGCAGGCCGCGTGGGAAGAGTTAGATCGCGTTGTAGGAGAGGACCGTAGTCCTTCGTTCGAGGACGATGCAAACCTACCTTACATGCGAGCATTTGTAAAGGAAGTGTTCCGATGGCGATCAGTAGCCATTATCGGTGGACAACCGCACGCTCCAGTTCAAGACGATTACTACAACGGTTACCTGATTCCGCAATCCGCATGGGTACAGGGCAACGTCTGGGCGATACACCATAACGAGCGTGACTTTCCTGAACCCGACCGTTTCAACCCGAACCGCTTCTTGAAGGACCATCCTGATTCGCGACCTTTCCCCGGCGAAAGAGGGTACATGACATTTGGTTGGGGTCGTCGAGTGTGCTCAGGTCAGGCGCTTGCGGAGCAGGGCACATGGCTGACGGTAGCGCGATTGGTTTGGGGCTTCAGGATCGAGCCAGCACTAGATGAGAATGGGAAGCCCATTCCGGTCGACATATTTGATTACACGTAAGTGCCTACTAGAAAGCGATCAGTATGTGAGATACTGACATCTGCAAGTAACGGTTTGAACATGCGACCGCAGCCGTTCAACGTGAGCATAAAGCCTCGGAGTGAAAGGATACGTCAAGCTATCGTACGAGAGGGCGAACAGGCATTGGCAGACCTTGCGCAATACGAGGGTGAGACGAAGTATCGCATGAGTACATTCTACAAGAAGTAGATCTTGCCATGAGAAAGTAGTAGCCGGGACGAATTTGGCGGTAGTGAGTGGTGGGCTGACGCGTAGTCTTGGTCAGCCAAGGCGAATGTCCATCCATCTCTTTTTAACCGGTGCTGCCTCCAATAAGGTTGATGTGGTCCCAGTACCAATTCTTTCCCAATGCGAGCCCCGACACTGAACTACCAGGACATGATGCTCTCTATCGTGTCCATGACGAAAGTACCAGGGCAAGTGCAGTACATAGGACCCCAGGAGAAAGCTGGGAAGATCGTGAGCTGTAGGTTCAACATCAATGAACATTGATGCCAGTCCGATGCGGGAGATTTTCGGGTCAGGCTCAAGATAGTATGAACGAGATCTCTGCGATTGCGGCAGTGGGAGCGGCATTATACGAGTAACGTGAGCACTGATATGGATGTATATAGTCGGTGCCTGTGTGATGGAGTCGTATAGTGTTTGGTAAGTTTTCCAGTCAACAATTTTCCCGTCATTGAGCTCCGGCTTCACTGCGCATGAAATTTCAGTCTTGTTTCGGGACAATCTGGCGTTGTCCAACATCTTCAACCCCCTGGCCCATCGTACAGTGCCTTCCCATCCGGTCCACGACCAGCTAGGAAATTCGACTCGTCGTCTAGCTGGGCCTTCCACGTCCCAGCTCAAGTTGCTGACGAATCTTCGGTGCGATATGTTAAGCGGTGTTTTGTCCGACCCAAAAAGATCGTTATCACAGTATGGCAGTCCCCAAAGGTGTCTGAGACCATTTGAGTGTCCCAGAGACGCGAAGATCCCAAGCATTGCATTCAGTACATCGCTTTCATATGTGAGTGAGCGCCTTGTGAACGCTTCGATCCGGCCGAGGACTGTCATAGCGTAGCCCTTGACAGATGGGAAGAGGCCTGGATCATGTTCCTCGAAAAAGAATCCAGTTTTTTCCCCACCACGACGCCAGAACATATGTTCGGGGGCTATCCAGCCTTCCATCCGAAATCTTTTTTGACATTCGAAATAGAGTTGAGTGTCGGTGAAGACAAGACGTCTAGTCGGAAGCAAGCCTTCTTGATATGTCCAGCCTCTCGTACTCCATGCCGTATTCTCTAGGGTATCGCTACAAAACACGGGAGTGGAATCCAGTTTTCGCTGCCCAATGTGGAGAGGGTGGTTCACTTTACGTTGCCGGCTAACACCTGGCAGTCCGTAAGCCCCATCATATCCCGCCGCTGCGATGATCGTGAAAACAGACCCTGCATAGACCTTGTCCATCTGTTTGAGCTGTCGATGAAAGTCTTCTGAAGATTTCTCCAAGCAATATCTATCGACCCAAAGGTAGTCGTACCCAAGCATCAGCGTGACTTTGATGGCATCCTCGATAGTTCGAGGTAAGTTGCGCGATAAGACGCCCGGCTCCAACGACTCAGCGCCCGCTTGCTGGCCAGGATGTTGTGCGTCCGGCTTGCCCCACACGTAGCTCAATGTCACATACGACCCAGCTGGTGGCAGTTTTCCAACTAAGCGGTTTCTGCAGTCGATGACCTTCAGATTGTGTACGTTGGTGTCGTACTTTGACTCGGTCAAAAACTGAAATTTGTGACATCCATGACCCTTTACGCATGACGCGATCCACTCGCGGGCTTCTGTGTAATCATCGATCAGAGGTGTAATTGCTCGCAGATTCTGACTGATGGGTCCATCCGGATCGAAGATGATGGAACTGCGGATACCGAACAAATCGAAGAGACTATACTCCCCGCGTCGCTCGATACAAAGTATGGGTGCTTCGATCTTTTCGAGAAGAGGTGTTACTGCGACGTGAGATTGCACTGCATTAAGGTTGCACACCCCGCCTTCTGGCACCTGACCCATGCTGCCGGATAGGAATTGGCAGAGACTACAAGTTTCTGGCTTCAGTCGAGAGATCCTCAAGACAGTTCGGACCGGTACCCCCGGATTGAACCGGAGCGCATCGTCCAGATCGAAAGCTGCGCACTGCGAACAGAGGTGGTTAGGCGGTCTGACCACCGTGAAGCTTTGAGGAGGAGATAATGTCATGGCCCGACAGATCTTCTGGGATCGCAGTCGATGCGTATGAGCTGTCCTTGATTTGAATTGAATCTGCGTGCGGAATTGCGCAGAGGTGTAAGTGGGACAACTGCGCCCCATGCCTGCAGGACGCCCGCAACATTCGGTGACCAGTAATACACCGTTAGCTCAGCAGCGCGACATGGGGAAACTTGGATTCGATTTGACTGCAGCATCGCTGTCAACGTTGAGCCTAAATACACGGTGAACCAAAGCTGCTCCAAAAGCGCTGATAGGGTTTAGAAGTCTCTTCTATCTCCAGCATGATGCGACCGCTTGAGGCAATGGTGAGGGTGGCGGAGAGGCCGTTCCCGATGATATTGTCGCCTTGAACATCAGGAGCGTCATCCGTGATCAACGCCAGATCAGAATTTGCCTGTTACGGGCAGACCTGCTGATGTAAGCGCGCACGTACCACTGCGTCATCGCGGTGCGCTCCCCTTGCGGACACCGAAAACGTCTACCTTTTGCATCGCGGTACCGTTATTGTTTATCGTGACCTGCTAACATTCATCGCATTCATATCGGATGCATTAGGCCTAGAAGCAATTCGGCATCCGCGGTGTCGCACACTGACTACATCAATTGGACAACGATGAAGCAACCCCGCGCTTCTATCGCTCAAATCTCGGCCAGGTCTTCACCCAAGATCCATGATGGCGAGTTGGACTTATCGAGAATGCTTCATTCACCATGCCATTTTCAGTCATTAGGAATAGCAGGCAGCTCGAACCGTTGGCCGATGTTAGTTCACACACCAAAGTTCGTCTACGAGATCCTTTGAAACACGACCTCTGAAGCTCCATTGTTTGGGCGCATTTGCACCCGTTTTCGGCACTCAAATTTTGTGCGGCAAAGAAGTCATTCCTTTGTTGTAGTATGGACCATTCGCTCCTCGTCAAAACAGCGTTCTGCGCAATGGAAGACGAACTACTCACGGATGTCGCACCTCTGACAAAAACTTTCATCTTTTGCATCGATTCAGCTCTTGTACCCAGCAAGCTAAATGACCCCACCGTACGCGAGTTTTTATAACTATTTCAGATATGATGCCAACGAATTCATCCATCAGAACAGGAATTGGACGAAATGTGAGTAGATTTGCTAAGTACAGACAGAGATCACTTGCTTATAGTAGCCACTAGCGGAACGTCTTTGGACAATTTCGACTATATGGGCCGGGGATGGGAACGTCAAAAATTACTATGCTACTCAAACCCAGAATGCGAGTGGAAATTGGAAGGCGACCAGTCCTGGATTGCCAAACCCGAACCCAATACCAGTTAATCCATTCACTGCCGCAGATGTTAACCATGCAAAGACTGCGCAAACTATGCCTGCATCTGCGACTGCTCCCGGAGCGAATGTCCTGCCTGTCGCCGCTGCTCCTGCATACGTCTCGTCTAACCTACATGACTTCTGGCCAAGGCTGCCATGGTCTGCACCGGACGAGCCCGCTCCACCATTCCTTGACATGCAAGCGTTAAAAGACGACGTTGATTTCGTAAAGGAACATTGGCTCGACACTGAGCCGCGCATGCCTCCACCGAACGACAACTCTCGTTGGCATGGCATCAAGCTATTAGGATCTGGTAGCTATGGCGCAGCCGGCTTGTGGGCTGAAGCCGATGCAGCAAACAATATCCGTGACGTATGTATCTAGTCACAGACACGATCAGTGCCCTTTCCTCAGCGATAAGCTAACATTAACACCAGAGAATGGTGATCAAAGAAGCCAAAGCCTTCACACCAAGCCGATGGCGCGATCCCAAGAACTGGCGGGACCGATTGCCACAAGAAATACGTATCCACCAGCTTCTCGAAGAACGTCGTGCCGTGGGACCAGCCATGTGTCGCCATATTATCCGTTGCCGCGCACATCGACTATGGATGGAACATAGAAGATATAGATTGTATCTAGATTACCATTCGGGTGGCGACATGAACGCGGCAATGACATTTCATGCTAAAAGCTGGAAGGACGGGAAACCCACCGACGAGGACATATTCGTACCAGAGGGTTTCGTCTGGTATACCATCAAAGCGCTCGCGACTGCTTGTCTGGTGCTTCGCGAAGGCACTATCGATGACACCCCGGTTGACGGCTGGAGACCCATCACCCACTTGGATTTGCAGTTACCAAACATACTTTTGAATGTTTATACTCCACGGATTCCGGAAGCCAAAGGAAAGTCAAAAGCGGGCTCCTCCAAGAGTGCTAGACTCAACCGTGCCGACGCTGACGATTGGAGGGCTAGAGAGCCTCCCGTGATGCCTGTTCTCGCAGACTTTGGTATTTCCTTCTTCAGTCCGGATCGTGGCGACTGTCCGATTACCGACAATCCTGACGACTATGTCATCCACGAAACTGACACGCGATATCCTCCTGTAAGTAGCTTTCTTTGTCCGAAACATCGCTTGCTACCACAGCTAATCGCTCTTAGGAAATGCACCAACAAGAGGAACCGTACTATCTCGAGTTGGGTGAAAGAACGGACGTTTGGGGTATCGGTCACATCGCATGGAGACTCTTGTGTAATAAACAAGTTGATGCGTTTGGTCCGATTCGTTGTGACACGGAACGGTCTCGCAGCACGAAAAAAGATGACCAGCCTAAAATTCCGTTAGCTCTTAGAAGTGAACGCAACGTCCGTCCCAATGATAAAAAAAGTGTACTCGCAGAGAAGAGCACTGCACAATATACAGCTGGGAAGTACGGGCGAGAAGTCAAAGAGTTGGTGCGGAGGTGCTTGAACTTCGATCATAATCTCAGACCGACTCTAAGAGAAATCCTTGCTGAGGTCGATCAATCATTCTCGGATGACGACGTCTTGACAGACCAGATCAAGGACAAAGACGGGCTACAACTCATTCTGCCAGATACTCCCGAGTTCGCCATTGGACAGCCAGTCGACGCAGCTAAAAGAAGGGGACGTGAATGAGACTTAGTCTGGCCGCTGTTGTAAGACTAATGCAATCATTACTCCATATTAGCGAGTGCCGTCTATACTTCGCCCTCCCAATGTCTCTCGCTACTCTTGTACCAGCAAACTCCAATCGGCCTTGCCGTGAGGCCTCCTGCGTCTGCGCCGCTGCCTAATAGAGTCACTACTCGGGAAGTTCTTATTGATGATCATGAAGACGGTACACTCCCTGTTCATTGATAACAAACTCGGCTGTCATCCCATCACCTTGGTTGGCTGGCTGGCTTGTACAATGTCATGTCTATCTTGTTGGACAACGCTTCCACCGGTCGATTTGCTTCACTACGCAAGACAAGGAGATCGCAGAGCCGTGTCAACAAGTCACCTCGTATTGGCCGTCCAATGAAAGACTGAAGACAGGGCTCGTGTGTTGCTGGATGCAAGGGCTAGCTGAAGCTGGGTACGTGATATGGTACGGTTTACAGCACGCCATCAGATCTACTTGAAGCTTGAATGCTTTCAGACAGGAAGAAACGTCATATCGATATCACCACACCATCTCTTCATGTCCCTCAACGCCAATGTCTCGGAAAGAAAGGCACGATCCTCGGCGCTTAAAGCTTGATTCAGGTAGAAAGCTTCACTGCGGGCCTATCCGGCGTGGCATCCACGACGTCAGAAAGGTAAGAGCTACTACCAATTGAACAATTCAGGCGTAAGGCCAGCAAGAAGGTCTAAGACAATTATCCATGGAGAAATTGCTTCCGTCCACTGTACCCATCACACTGCGGGGGGAACTGGGGTAATCATACTAAGCCGGCGGGTTGATACGAGGTACACGCTCATCGAAGAAGCGGTACTCGCGCTACGATGAGACATAAAGTGGAACTGTCAACCCAAGATGTGCCTGATCGTCGTGTGTGGTGGTTGTGTTCAGAATCCTATGGGGCTTACGGGACGCCTTACCCGCCCCCAGATTTCGATCCGTTGCTTAGCCGTTGTTCCCGGGCGGACATGCTCGATTTGGATATAGATGCTCGCTCGATGTTCGAGGGAAGGTGTTTGGTAGAGCAGGGGAGAAGTGTATATAAAGACGTCGTTTGTCGGCTTGGGAGTATTCTTCATCAGCTCGACTCTACTCTACTCTTCAACTCCAATATCCAAACCAAGAAACCACTTTTCTCACACACTACCAGTCCTCCACTTAACCATCACCATGCGTTTCGCTGCCGTCTATGCCGCCCTCGCCATCACGGCCACCGCTCTTCCTGCAACCTCTTTGGAGCAGACTGGAGCAGCTCTCGGTATGCTCTTTTCACATGAACTACCACGTCCACAGAAGCTCTTGCTAACCACTCTTTTCTAAATCAGATGCTCAGGCTGATGCTTGCGCCGACCTCGATGCATACCAGACCTGTACTGGAGCCTGCAGTGGGCTCGCCCCGGGCTTTGCCTGCGCTATCAATTGCCTCATCGCCTACTGCGCTTAAACTGTTACCCTTGGTACTTGGAGCTGTGTTCAGGCGGCAAATACGGGGAAAGACCCTGGCTTCGTTGTTGGATGGGGGTAATCTTGGCCGTACTCTCAATTGTACTCAGGGTCTGTAGACTGGCCAGCCGTTCGTTACTCGCATGCACAATGAAAAACTGTTAAAGTCGACTGTTTCTAAGTGAAGGACCCATAGGGTGATATCTCAAAAGAAAAAGTAGATTGTGTATAGATTGGTATCAAGTTGAGTACAGCCCCTTAACGCCAAAGTAGCAAACCCTCATGATCCAAGAGAACTCGCCGTACATGACGCTGAAATACCAAGATCAAGCCATTACACCATGCAATCCCGTCCCAACGTTATCATATCATGTCGTATCGTATCCAGTGTCTATCAGCGCCTTCCAAAGCCACCGGCCATCTGCTTCTGCACATATTTAGCGCCCTCTTTCTTGATGATAGGTAGGGCGTAGTCCTTGAACATGCCCATGGCCTGCCTCTGCCACTCCGGCTGTCCAGGCTTTCCCGGCTTGCCGCCTCCACCTCTACCACTCCTGCGGCGGTCGTCGTAGCGATCATCGTCGTCGTATCGACTGCGCCTGTCGCGACCTCCATCGTCATAGCGAGAGTCGCGACGCGGCTTGCTGTTGAACATATCGTCGTATTTGTTATCGTAGCCGTCGTCGCGGCGTCTGCGATCGTCACGGGGCTTGTCACGGCGGTCGCGGTCATCGTAGTAGGGGTCCTTCTCTTTGCGGCGGCGGTCGGACTTGTAGCCTTCGGACTTGTAGCCGTCGCGGTCACGGCGCCCATCGTCTTTGGGCCTGCGAGGGGGGTAGTGTTCGTCGTATGAGTCGTAGGTATCCTCGTGCCTGGGTCGGCGGGGGCGGTCGTCGCGGCGCTCCTCGCGATGCTTGCGTCGAGGTTGGGGTGGTGGAGAGTCAGAGTCAGAGTCGGACGAGTAGGACGGTTGCCTGCGATGGCGACGTGGTCGGGCTCCACGAGGGTCGCGTTCTTCTGCTGCTGGGTTAGCTGGAATTGCGAAGAGCGCTGACAGGATGGCATACCTCTAGGTGGTGGTGGCATAGATTCAGGTGGTGGAGGTGGCATGCCCTCCATTCCTGGCGGCGGAGGGGGAGGCGGCGGAGGATAACCTTCGTGGCCTGGTGGAGGCGGTGGAGGATAGGCGCCATGCGGGGGCGGTGGAGGGTTGTTGGGATATGGCGGCGGCGGCGCATCGTCGACAGGCCTCTCCTTGCGAGAACGGCGGTGATCGCCTCTTCGGCTATCGCGATAGTCGCGGTAGTCTCTCTTGTCGTCTTTGCCAGGCGCCCATTTTGGCTTGCCGTTCTCGTAGCTGTCAAAGCGGTACGTGCCCGGATCTGCTTCCTGTCAGCGCTGTGCCAATTCAATGCATGCCGGACTTCTTACGTGATGGCGGCGGGGGCGGCTGATCCGGTGAGGAATGTCTGTCTCTATCGCGACGACCCATATTGTTTGCTTGTTGTAGCGGTCAAGGTGCAGGTAGTGGTTGTTGAGTGTAGGTGTCAAGGTAGCGTGGTCTAATAGTCGGCGGCGAACATCTGACACTTAAGGCGCGGCTCTCGGCTACGACGCACCTCAGCCCAGTCTCACAAGACACCATGTCGTCATATGCCCTATTGCCTCAGCTCGTAGTGCAAGAGTGGAAAATTTGCGGGGCTGCCGACGCATTCGAAGCTTCGCGACGGCGTGGCAGAGCTCAAGTGGGCTGTGTATGTAGGCTGTGATCATCGTGCATGGGCAGCACGTCTAGACGGGCCCACTTCTGCAAGCCATTGCCGTCCGCGATGCTCAACTGGCCAGGTTGTGCGCCTGAAGAGAAGGGCCGTTCCCCCGCAATGAAGCGTGGGATAAACTGAAGATCAGGGTCTTCCGGAGATTTCGACCATGGGGTATTGCTACGTGGTGTGCAGAGGGTGGTGCTGCCTTATGCTGATCTATCACACGCCCGTATAGACGTCAGGGGACGCTGCACTGCCCAATCGCTATACCTGCTGACTGATCTCGTTACCTCAGTCCTGCTATCCTGACCTTGCCCACGGTCACGGGAAGCGGTGAACTTCGATACCACATGCGGACTAGATCCCATGACTCAAGTCTTCGTCTACATCATACTCGGGCTTCAATCGTATCGCGACCGAATTTTGACTATTCGGCGACATCACAGTAGCTCACCAAGATCCAACGTCACCTCGTTCATCGAGCAGACTACGTCACACAAACGGCACCATGGTAAGAGCATGTCGATCAAACTATCACACTCATCTAGGCTTGATCTGAATTTCCACCAACGTCACCGTCGTTCAGAACATCTCGATAGCCTGAGGGGGCTGGGAACTAGACTGGACCTGCATAGAGTTGCAGTCTACACGATAAGCGTCTTAGCGGCCTCGCTCTTGAACGTACTACGTAGTAGACTAGATCTGATCAACCTCTGCTGCTGCTCTCTCTCTTGTCTCTGCTTCCTCTCTATGTGTAGGCTCAGAGCAAGCTCGACCAATATTAACTGAAGCCGTCCAGACGGTCACGAGGAGCTCCTGCGCAAGAGCCCTTCTGAAGCTGCAAATATTGAACTCCAGTGGTCCTGTCAAGATGTTCCTGGACCTCGGTAAACTACGTGTACGCCGTCTTGGTTCGGACGCGAGCCCCGGAACTCTATCTAGCTAGCTTTGTTGAGATATCAGGTACCATATCGCAATAATTGCTACCTCTATTGTGAAACAAAGGTTACCTGTTCACCTGCTAGCGCGACTGCAAGCCAGCAGATTTCATGTACAGATTTTGATATTGGTTGATTTCTGGCTTGTTTTTGGTTTGACGGGTCACCAATGGTCGCACCTCATACAAGGGAAAGACTGAACACCCTAGAGGCTACATCAAGAAGAAACCCTGCAAATTAGGTGGCCTAACGTCGATGTAGGCTCCAGACCTGTCCAGGTTTTCCCTAGGTTGACGTGGTCGTGTACTGGACTTGGTCATCCCAAACGACTATATCCGCTCTCGATACATTTGAGGAGCTGGGAATCTACTGCCCGCTACCTCGCTGATAGTGATGCTGGCCACGACCTTGAGCTGGGGCGTAATACCCGCGACCACGTGAGTTCGCAGAATCACCCCCTCGACTCTGGCCAGACGTGAACTGCCCGCGCCCGCGCGAAGGTGTAAAGTCTCCTCGACCATGACCAGGTACGAATTGGCCCCGTCCGCGAGAAGGTGCAAAGTCAGACTCTCGACCCTGACCGGGTGTGAAGTAGCCACGTCCGCGCGGAGCTGCAAAGTCTCCTCGGCCTTGAGCTGGCGCGAAATTCCCACGACCGCGAGGTCCGCTGTTGTAAGCACCCCTGCCCCTTCCACCACCCCTTCCTCGATTGCCATGAGTAGGGAGCGGCCAGAATGTTTCACGTGTTTCTCTGTCCACAGCCCAACTTCGTTCTTCCATCGTACGCAATACGATTGGCCCACCTTTCTCTTCCCTCACAAGAATCAAAGCTCGATTCGGCCGATTCTCTCGCTTCAGCACATCTCTCAGGCGTATAAGCAGAGCAGCGAGTTTCCTCAACGGTTCCTGCTGGTTCTGCTCCCATGTCTTCACCCTTACAGTTGCGACTTCCTCCTTGATCCTCGATACAACACCGGTACCTTTCTCGTAGGGAGCGGTGTAAAGCAACGATGTACGACCGAACCAGAGCTGATCTTGACATGCGACCAACCCTGATGCCAATGGGCTATAAGCCTGAGTTTTGAGCTCTAGTATCTGGGCTGTTGGTACGATATGGCCTTTTTGCAGGACCCGAATTGGCGCATTGTAATTGAACCTTGGAGGGTTCACGTGTGAGCTTCCGCTCACCGCTGCTGCTTCGGTCTGTGTGAGATCGTCGGGAATGATGCCGTCGTCGTATGCATCTGCTTCGAAGCGACAAACGACGTTGAGAGGACCCATTGCATATCGTATAGCCCGATAGTGACTCGTCGCATCCTCCATGTCTTCAGTTTTCTTGGTGAAGGCTCGCTCGAAGTTGAACCCGTAACTCTTCCCGTCTGAGCGTTTCCACCACCGTGACTCCCTGCGCACGATGACGAGTGTGTTGAAGACTAGATACAGATTGAGGCGGAGAGGTGCGTTATTCTTGCCCTGAGCAAATTCCAATAACACACGGAGATTGTTGCGATCTGCGAGAACGTCGACGTTGTGGAAAGTGGTGTTTGGTGACATAACCCGGAGGGCATTGAACATCGGCAGGTACGGATTTTTCGGTTGGCGAGCGTAGTTGTAATCGTTGGAATCCCAGCCACTATCCCTTTCGACAGTGTGCGGCAGGCTTGGCGGTTGCCATTTTGCTGGCTCGCCGGGAACTAGATAGATGTGAGTCTAACAATACTCGAAATTTTAACTGGCACCCCGTTCAAGGGAAAAACCGAACACCCTAGAGCCTACATCAAGATAAAAGCTTGCGAAGCGGGTGGTCTAACGGCGATGTAGGCTCCTGGGTGTTCAGTTTTTCCCTTGTATGAGGTGCTGGCAAACGCCTGGCTGGAGGTCATGGTATACTCACCAAATATCGTATTGGTACCGTCTTCCGCAGCCTGCCAGTTGTAGCAACACAACAGCTCCGGTTCCTCGTCCCATGTTACTGGCTCTGGTACCGGGATGAGTGCGGTCTTTTCGATTGTCTCTACAACATGTCCTGCATCTCTTGCAATAGTGCTGTTGAAGCGCGCCATTTTTCTCCTGCGTTTCTCAAGTACGACTGGATCGATCACTTCTTCTTCAGGAATTTCCAGAATGGCATCCCCACCGTCCGAATCGGAGTCAACGCCATCTTCGGCCGCAATGGTGGGCTCCACAGCACTGTCACCCTGCAGTTGCTGCCAACTCGAACCACCCAAGGCCAGGGCAATCTTCGATTCGAAAGAAATGGCCGCCGAGTTCATGTCCGGTGGTGCAGAAGCCGCCACAGGATTCGGCTCGAGTATGCGCTGCTTTGGTGGATTGGCCTGCGAGTCTCTTTCTGGCGTATCTGACTGATAGTCTTCTCTTTCACGTTTTCTTCCACTACTGTCGCTCGGGCCACTAGTTCGCTCTCCAAATGCTTAGGAGGGACGATGAGCGGGAGGATTAAATTTAGGCGTGTACACAAACGTACCGTACATGCCGGCTGTTTCGCAGCGCCTTCCCAGCTCTTGCGCTAGAGGTTGATTACGCGCACGTTCAAAGGGGTTGTAACTTCGATTGGAGTAGAGGCGCCTTCAGACGTATTTGTGGTGAAGGGATAGGTTGTGTTGGTATGGAGACGCTGGATAGGCCTGAACCAACTCTGTCTATCGGGTTAAATATGTTGGAATCAAGTAACAACCAACGGTAACTTGGACGTGGTAGTGTGGGTAACGAGACGACAGATTGTAGGGAGCAGGGAGACGCGAAGGCCGGGGTGACGCGACTTGGAAGGCCTCGATGAGTGAAACTGGGTTAGCGCTTCGGCTAACAGCGTAGCGCGAGTGATCCTTCGATCGTCCAAAAGCACCTCCAGGGCTGGACAATTCAGAACGTCCTCAGTTTATAGATGCTCCCGATTATTGCACCTGCACTGTCATGTGTATCCGCAGGGGATAATTAGTGAGTTCGAGCAACCTTTACGGTTGCCCGCGAGACCCGATTAACGCATTCGTCAGAAAACCAGTAGATTGAACATAGCATCGTAGTATTTTCAGGACTCCAGCACGATGTAGTCCAGTACTATAGGGCCATTCATATCAACTTACAACTTCCATCCCCGCTTCTTCGAAAGCGCCGTCTCCTGCCTGACCGCCAAATCAGCAATGATTTCCTCACTGCCGCCACCCACAACCTAGCACACGTTAGCATCAGCATACTATCCTGGGCTTCACATTTCAAGGAATCAAACATACCATCATCCTCAGATCCCGACTAATCTGCTCAACAATAGCACCAGGCCCACCCTTCTGATACCCAGCACCACCGAAGATCTGCTGCGCCTCGCGGTTCGCCATTTCAAGTATACGACCACCGTGCACCTTGCACAGGGCAATTTGGCCCGCAATCTCCGGATCCTGCCAGCCGAGCGGAGATTGCTGGATATGGTATGCGAGTTGTTCGAGCCATGCCCAGTGGCTCTCTACATACCGGCCAATGGTAGCGAGTTTATGCGCAATGATCTGGTTGGCGATGAGGGGCTTGCCGAATGTGTGTCGCTTATGTGCGTAGTGGAAAGATTCGCTCAGACAGGTTCGCGCTTTTCTGTTGCAGCCTATGCTCATGATGTAGCGTTCTTTGTTGAAGTTGGTCATCACAATTCGAAAGCCTTCGTTCTCTTTGCCGATGAGATTGGATACAGGGACGCGGACATCGTCCATCTCCACGAAGCTTGCGCCTCCACCCTTTTGCCCTGAGTTGGGAATACGGCGATGTGTTAGTCCGGATGAGTCGGTGGGAATGACAAGGACGGAGATGCCAGTGGCGCCAGGTCCTCCAGTGCGAACGGCAGTCGTCATGTGTGTAGCCCATGGCATGCCAGTAATCCATTTCTTGTACCCGTTCACAACGTAGTATTTTCCGTCTTCGGTCTTGGTTGCCGTAGTCTGGAGGTTCGCGACGTCGGACTACACACTTCAGTTAGCATTCTCTCAACCAGAAATGTAGACGTGTTGGGGAGACGGTATACGTACACCACCACCCGGCTCAGTAATGCCTAGACAGAAACTAGTCTCCCAAGTAAACAACCCTGGCAACCACTTCTTCTTCTGCTCCTCAGTTCCATGATGTACAATCGGCGGAGCACCAATCACGCTGCCACCGCCCAGAGCGACACCTACACCACCCTCTATCCTACTATTCTCATCCGTCATGATCAACAGATGGAACAAGTCCAAGTCGCCAACCAGTATGCCCGCGGGTCCTGGAACATTGCGTGGGCGGTACGGTTCTGGCACGTCCGCGAATGCGTAACCAGTCTGCGCCCATTTGTGCCGTTCCTGGGCTGGAGCCTCGCCAGCTTCCTCCCACTCGAGCATGTACGGCTTTATGTTTGTATCGATGTATGTGCGAAGCGCATTGCGTAGTTTCTTGTGCGACTCGTTGTAGTAGGGGGAGGCGAGGGCGGAGTACCACGAAGGCTCGCTCCATGGGGCGAGGTTGCCGAAGGTCTCTTTCTTCTGAGGTTGCATTACGGAGGGAAGAGGCGTATCGGCGCGCGGCTTGGGGTTCGCCATCGTGTCTGCTTGGTGGTATTACAAGACATTTCCGTTGGAGTGAGAAGCATACTTAGGTATTGGACTACTTGGTAGTGGAGTTGAGATGCCGCGGCTGAGAGACGACGATCATACTGACTCGCGTGCTAAACTGCGGGGGTGCGTAGCCGATTCGCGCGTCCCCAACGCGTCCGCCCTCAAATGTCTTCTTGGGTTTCGCGCTCGAGCATGAAGTCTTTCCGCCAGTTAATACGGTTACACCATACCGTGCAAAGCTCGAAGGTCTTCTTCGTAATCACTCAGAAGACCATCTGAGCAATCTGGAATGAGAAACGAGGTGAAGTCACGACAACATGAGGGATGGCTTTGAAGTGAAACCTGCGAAGCTTTATTACTGTCTCGATGCTATTTACACGGACTCAAGTCTTCCGGCATAATGTCGTTCATTATTATATTCCTCCACTCGTATCAAGTCGTCAAGACGATACGTTTACCTGACGCAGTAACCACCGTCGATGAGGAGATCGGAACCCTGACATTGTTAGTGACTTGAAGAGGTATAATCTGGACGTGTAAACTTACAGTGCAGTAGGATGAGGCGTCAGAGGCGAAGTAGACGTAGGCACCCTTGAGCTCGGTGGCCTTGGCGTCACGGCCCATGGGGATCATGGAGTGCCACAGCTTCTGGATGTCCTGGGGAACGAAGTCGGAGAGACCAGTGTCAATGTATCCGGGGGAGATGGAGTTGACACGGGCAAAGTCCCTCCACTCGTTGGCAAGAGACTTGGCGAGGTGAATGCAGCCAGCCTTGGCGACGTTGTAGGAGGCCTGCTCCTGGGGGAAGTTGGCAATGTGGCCAGACATGGAGGAGGTGATGACGAGGGAACCAGTCTTGCGCTCGCGGAAGTGGAGACCGACGGCACGGGCGCAGTTGAAGGTACCAGTCAAGTCGGTCTCGATGACCTCCTTCCACTGCTCAACGGTAGCGTCGAGGATACCGTTGTCGGCAGTCTTTCCGGCGTTGGCGATGAAGACATCGACCTTGCCGAAGTCCTTGATGACGTCGTTGACGAGCTTCTCGCAAGCGGAGTAGTCGTTGACCTGGCACTTGTAGGCCTTGACCTTGACGCCGTACTTCTCGCTCATCTCCTTTGCGTTCTTCTCGGCGCCCTCAGCGCGAGAGTTGTAGGTGATGGCGAGGTCGGCACCGTACTCAGCGCATCCTCGGGCAGCCTCTGTGCCAATACCGGTAGGGCCGGAGGCACCAGTGACGATGACGACCTTGCCCTTGAGGCTGAAGAGGTCCTTGAGCTCGGTTGCTTGGGGAACGTTGATCATTGTGGCGGTTGTGAGGGTTTGTGAAGAGAGTAGAAAGGTTTTGGGGTATATAGAAGAGAGATTGGGTTTGAGTGTGATGGAATAAGAAGATGGAGGCTGATCTGGAGGGGCACGGAGGGGTTCAAGTACTCCTCTGCGGCTGAAAAGACTTGATGGACAGCTTCACGCATTAGCGGTTAGTGAGGGGCGCTGGGTCGACAGTGACGTGTGGCTCGTTCTAACAGCTTCTGGACGTCATGCCACCGAGCTTGATTCGCCAATGGCACCAAGATGTGGACAGTCTGGCTTCACTATTCCGCTGAGATCCTAGCGACCGACGGGGGTGGGTGGGTTGCTGTGACGTTCCTGCCCCTCTGTTAGCTTGCTCTACGGGAGCTTGGGCCGCCTCTTCGTGTGCTTCGGCGCGTGAACCCATCGCATTGCTTTTTCTCCCACGCGTTATCATCGATTTCTCCGATCCCGTGGCTGACTTTTCCAATGCTACAACCTAATAACTTTAGGTACGCTTGTCTCGTGTCTTGCCTAGGTGCCGCCGAGCTGTTGCATGTTCCCAAAGTGGAACCCCACGATTGATACACGACATGCGCTGTCAGCGATTCATGCTTTGACAAAGACATTTGGCCGTGTCAACCCGCGCGTCTAAGCTGCTCGTGCGGTACGAAGCCGCCACGCTGCCACATGAGCACCTTATGCCATGTTGAATGTAATGCACACCCACATGTGCTACTGTACTCGGCCTTGGCTACTAGTAAGCAAGGCGCTGTGCATTGCTAACTGGGAGCCTGGCAGATACAGTAATCGTTACTCAGCTCTTTCTTCTTCATCGAGGCATCGGTCGTCTGCTCGATCCTGTTGGAAGACTCTGCCAGACCCTGCATGTAGCTGCAGGCGAACATGGTAGCAGCTCCGAGAATCTCTGCGTACATCGACATGTAGCCAGCGGATCCGATCGGTCGTGGAAACCTTGGAACTGCCGGCCTAGAGCGTGATTGATGTTGCACGGCCGAAGGAAAACCGCGCATCCATGGAAGCTCCACGCGTGCGGAAGCCGTCTCCCAACCATCTACGATCTCAACACGCAGAATCAATGGGGCTTTATTGTCAATATACATGACGTTGCCGGTATCCGCCGTACGCTGACTTAGTTTGCCATGCTCCATCGGTCCCGCGCATGGCTGATGGGAATTTCATTTCTCCGATGCCGCAGACGCACGTGACACACCTCGTCGGCCAAACTTGGAACCTCCCATTTCATCTCAATAGAAACCTACGATATCGTATCTGGCTCGGCAAGCGGTGCTTGATCCAATATCAATGTCGAAACCGCGAACGTGTAGTCTTGTAGCACCTTCTAGCTCGATTAGCCAAGCACCTGCCACCGGGTCTGATGCAGCCCTCTGATTCGCAGCGATGCGCAGCCATGGGGTTCACCATACTTTTGCTCATGCTTCGCCATTGCCCCTGAAGGTCGATAGCTAACACGTAACATTCGTCTGCATCGTTCCAGACACATTTCCACACTTACCTACCCGCAACCCGCAAGTCCGCAGCAATGGTGCAGAATGCACTCCTCCCGAAGCCCCTCCCCGCCGACGCCCTCGTAGTCGGCCAACTGGTTACAGAGCCCCTACACCCCGAACGCGACTCCTTCTACCCCGATAAAGCGCACGCAGAGGTCGACGATCTGAACGACTTCCACATCCAGCTCCGCTACAAAGATCTCTACTCAGTCGACACCGAAGGCCGCTTCACGACCAACTATGGCGCGAGGTTCGATCTCGGAAAGATATACAGACAGCCCAACCTGCTCACTGTCAAGGCCGAGCAGATGATACAACGGACCACGCAGTCATCGTCAAGAGCTTTCCAAGCCGTCTGCAACGACCCCGAGGCACGCATCTGGATGGCGGAACAGATCAAAGCGGGCAAGCCACTCTACATCGTCCTCGGCCTGACCGAGCTCAAGAACGCAACCTTCAAGCGCGCCAAATTGCGCGACGCAGGCGCCTCGAACCGCATCAACGAGACGCCCATCGAGAAGGACGCCAAGGTCCCCGGACCCCTCCGTGGCAGAGCGGAAGCCAGCTTGGGCGGAATCGGCACCGAGCCATCTATATCTGGTGTGTTTGGCATGGACGTACGCCGCGTTGCTGCGCGGCTCACGACGCCTGCGGAGCCACATCGGCTGGAAGATATTGACTACAGGTGGTACTACTACGACGTGCCCGGCTCGGTGGACAAGGAACAGTTGATGGTGGGGCTGGGAGCGCCGTTGAAGGCGAATGAACTTCGTCTGATGCTCGACCTCACAGACGATGATGTTCAGGGCAACCTCGACGCTATCAGCAAGCTCAGTCTGGACGCTCTGAGCGCTACGGCGAGCCCCATGCTTAAGCCTAGTACGCCCATGCTGAGGGGGCGCTCGCCTTCTCCTCATCCTACCATGCTACGCTCTTAGTGTCATGCGGTTGATAATGGTTCACACCTTTTGAAGCAGCGATTTGGCTTATGGATACGTATGATAGATTTACGACGAGCGTTCTGATAACACATATACGACCTTGTACGGCCTGGCACTTCTCCGCTTCTTTCTTATGTAGTAACTATCCATCTGTTCCGTTTCCGTTCCCGATAATCAAGACTTCATTTCCATCAGAGACCTGATTACCGTCATCACGATCACCAGAGTTCAAAGTCATAGCAGAAGGGGTTGTTCAGAGTGAAAGTAATCATATTAATCAAGCAAGACAGACCTGCGCTTGCAGTAAAGGTATCATAAGACAACAACCAGCCAACTGAAAACGCCCCATGTCGATCGTATATACGTAACTAAGCGTGGACATGACCATAAACAGTGGACATCGTGACAGGCTAGCAACAACGCCTTGAGGAGATCCAAACGCCAATTGGGTAATCCAAGAATTTGTGGAGAAGAAAAGCAACGAAGCAGCGCAAGTAAGCGTGGCTCATGATGCGGCGGCAGGTACCTCGCATGTCTGTGACGTAGTCTCGACGACAGCCTCAACAGCGGGTACTTCAACAACGGCAGGAGCAGCAGCTACCTGTTCGGCTACTGTTGTTGTCTCTTCCTCAACAACAGCGGGTACTTCTTCAACAACAACACTCTTCTTCTTCTCAGGTGTCACACAGCTAGCATCGAATACGTTTGACAGACGCGAGGGCTTCTCGATTCCAGCATCGACAGTGACGTACGAGGTAGCGTCACAGCCTTCAGCATAGAACTCACTTGGTGCAAGGTCCCCCAGTGGCCTGCGGTCCTCATCCATGGCATCTTGGACGAACTTGCGCAGGCGAGGCTGCTTGGCAGGCAAATCGGCTAGGATATCAGTCTCGTAGCCGTCGTCAAAAGACGAAGCGTGGTTGCGCTTGCGAGTTTGCGCAGCGAGGAAGTCTGGTGGTGGGACGTTCTCCTTGCCGCGGTCCTCGTTGCTGGCCTTGGTCTTTGCGTCATCATCGGATGAAATGTCGAGAACAGATGCGGAGTGCTCCATAAGGTTTGCGGCTTCCTGCTCGGGCGTGTCCTCGTGGATCTCGAAGAACCAGCTCTTGGGCATGCTGTCATCGACGATTGGGGTCTGCGGGGCGGGTGCTGAAACAGGCGTGGCGGCTACGGTGGGGGCCTTGGGTGTGTACGTCGAGATGGAGCCGCTGAGGGCTGCGTC